TACGGGTGGCGAGCAGCGGACGGCTAGGTCTAGGGCTAGGGCTTGGGCGGGATCCTAACCTAGCGTGATACCATGTTAACGTAGAAAATATTGGCTAGAACAAGGGAAACATTGGGTTTTGTCTAAGTGGTTGTACCCTCTAAGAGTACACACCTATCTTGCCTATAAGGCATCATGCATGTCTAAGCAATTTTAAATCAACCATTTACCATGTTTGTTGCTTAGGAGAGAGAGGGGGTCATCCTTGCATCGGCTAGAAGTGTATAGACGATATATTTTTATTGTTGCAGATGTGGTAATGTACACATTGTTTCATCCAACATTTTTCATCTTACACAGATTTCTTCGGCCACGCTGGCATGCATTCAATACGGCATTTATGACATCACCGTCGTGTCACGACGACGGTGTCTAGCCACAAGCGCATTCTTCCATTTGTCAGCTTTCGCCAGACGCGGCCATGCAAGACACGCATGACCAATGTGCGCCGATCTTTGTTCGATCCCTCCTTCATCCATGCTGCTGTGAAGATTTGTGTGGAGGGATCAGGTGGAATCAGGAGGAATCCCACTTGAATTCGCTCGGTCAATCACCAGGGCTTATGCTAGGTCCTAGGGTGTCTCGGAAGATGCCCAGTCAGGGTCCAATACTAGACATAGCCCGCGGTAATTTCAAACCAGTATTTTCACAGGGGTATCTGCGAGGGAATATTCACCCCCAGAAATCAGCTCCTGAAGACCAGATACGGGATACCCTTGAAAGACAAATTTAGCTTGGAATTCTATACGAAACGTTTACTTTCGATTCAGGAAATCCGACGTCAGCTTAGGCAGTGCTTAAGTTTCCCCCGTGCGTAGGCCGTAGGAACAAGGGAGTGCTGTCTACGCACTCATAAATGGTCAGGGTAGAAACAAAACAATATTCTGCGGTCCATTTACAGTGTCTGAAATTACCGCGGGCTAAGTGTACCCAGAATTTTCCAGATTCCAAGGATTTTTCTCTCCGAATCCTTCCGAGTTCTCGATGAGGTTACTCCGCCTAAGAGTAAGAACTTTGTCCGTCTTCCACACTACTGTGCGGGGTGCACGCGAAATGCATGAATAAGTCCCGAATATTGCCGTCAACTTTGGTGTTTGGAAGGGGAAAAATCTCCACGCAGTGGCGCATGGATGTTCTCCTTACAGAACGCCATGCTGGGAGACTAGCTCGTCAGGATTCATGAAAAATCCTCACGGAATGCTTCAGGCTTCTAAGGCTCATTAACTGGGCGACATGAAGAGATTCGACAGATCCAAACCTGATAAATCCGGGTTCTGGGTTTGAAAAGCTTTTAATTTCTTAACATTTAGGGTAGATACCCTTCTAGCGTAAGCCGGCATCAAGTGGAGGGCTCGATTGAGGCTCGAGACGAGAGGCCTGCTCTCAGCTGGGGTGTCCTGTCCTGTCCTCAGTCTGAAATTTCCTTACTGTTCATCACCTCGTGCGTTGTTCAGGATCACACGTCGCTGCTGGTCGTGTTGCGAATTGCGTTGGGCAGACCAGCTCAGGCCAGGCTATACTCGTAGCAGGGCAATTTGTAGGGGGTAGCCCAGGGGAGAGGGGAGGCGGGGGGGGTGGGGGAGGGGGGGGGGGGGGGTATGTTTTGTTGTTTTGGGGGATGATTGGGCAAAATTTTTAAATGGCGAGCAAAAATCGAGAGTGAGCTAGGAGGCATTTTCCCACGCACGCAAGCAAAATTCGAGAGCTACAAGTGGTGTACTTCGTGCCCTCCTGGCATCCAGCTGTTCGCGGTTAGACTCGCGGTTGCCCGAAGCTCAGCGAGGCAGCGTGGCGTGTGATTCGTCGTCAATGAGATCCGCCTCACCGCTGGACTGACGCATTATGTTCTGTTCGAGACCAAGCCCATTCACTCGGTGGGCCGAGTTGCGAGCATTTAATGCAGCAGACTCTCCATCACTCCCCTGGCTCCCTCTCGATTCCCGTCTGTGTGCAGTGCATCCGAGGGAGTTCAGCCATCCAATCGTTTGGCCAGTGACGTGGCGGCAAAGAGGCGGATGACTGGCTTGATGACTGGCGGATACACCACGTTCCAATACACTCTCTCCTCTGTTATTTGACATCTGGCTCACTCAGAATATCCTGACCTATTCTGCATACCTGCACACCTGTTACATGCTTCTGCACCCTGCTCTTTAGCGTAGCGAGCAGACGAGGAGAGTCTGGTAACCACCTGAACTCCCAAAAACACCACCCATTGGTCCCCTCGGTGGACCGCACAAGACATTCGTCCGTAAACATGGCGAAAACTGTAGCAAATCACATTCCCGTTTCTCCCGCTGCGAAATATGACAAATGCTTTGCCCATTTCTCTCAATGCAAATTAGAGAGGTTGGTTTTACGAGTTCTTACGGTGACCATTGGTGGGAATGGTCCCAAATCACACATTCCCTTCGATTGTTACTTGTCAGCAACAGGGGTTTTCTCATCAACATTCAGATTTAAAATGGCTCCATACTCACAAACCCTTTTGGTCAAAGTGACGATCTAATCTCACTTGTGTAAGCAGATTTACTACCCATTATGGCTTCAACTTGAAAGGTCCCTACCAAGGATTCAGTAAAAGAATCAACCCCCCTGTTGATGCTAACCTAAACCCTACACTTTACACTATATAAAATCATATTAAGTACCCGTGAAACACAAGCCTAGAATCCAGCGTTCCCAACCTATGCTTGAAACGTCCTATAAGAACTTGCTCTCAACAAGTATACACTGTGTACGCATGGTGTCCCCTTTATGCTTTGCCAGTAACCAATTCCAATCAATTTAGCCTTTCCATTTACCCTACTTTACGAGCATTAGCCATTTCATTTTGGCCCACTGTGTGCCACGTAAAGCTAGCTTATTAAGCACTGAATGAAATGATATAACAAATCTATGTTCTTGTTAACAATAATTCTAACGTATAAAACATATTGTTACGCGAAATGATAAATTTGACATTGGCCTCTACATTTCGACGAAGTTGTAGGTGAACAATAAAGACCATATATATTGATATCTTTCTCGGCATTTCATATTAGAGCTGTCCAAAGTACAGTCTGCCATCCGCTATCATCCGATTAAAAAATGAATCGTAGCTATTGTCAACAGTCCGTACGGAATTCGACGATTCGTTATGTCATCCGATGCCTTCCACTGATATACGTTGTCAAAATACTTTGGGCACGCTCTTTGTGCCCATCGCAGGCCTCAAATTCATTACGCACTATATACACATGATCCTAGTTATAATAGCGAGTGTTAGAGGAGACCTACGAATTTCACAAAATTAATGTAGAACCTATCGACATTCCGCTTATATGGCCCTTCTTACAAGAGCGCTCGAAGTGCGACATGACAGATTCAATATAGAATATTGCCTGCAATTGTGGTAATCCAAAACGTTATCAATCAAAGATGACCCAAGGATGACACTCAGACCATTTGAGCGCAATGTTTGGTTGCACTTGTATAGTGCATTTTATTTCGCAAATATCTCGTTTAAAAGGCTTGAGTGTAACATAATACGGTATACACGAATGGAATTGGCACGGGTTTTGTGACTTGAAGACACGCCCCTATTTACATTCCTAACCGTTTTTTTCTTGCTAGAGGGGTTTTGACATTTCATGCTTCTGTTTCGCGTCGCGTGGTTATTTTTCCCTGTTCAAAGCCAGATATGGTGTATCCTAGCTTAGCCGCCGCGAAGGACAACAAGGTTTGAGGGAACCTCGTTCTCCCCTCGTCGCTCCTCCTCTCCTCTCCTCTCGCTCCCTCTCGCTCACCTCACTCTCTCCTGCTGTTCGTTCGAGGCGCGTCTACGGCATGACACTTGACAGGCATGGCAGCATTTCGCGTGAGGAAATGAAAGGTCCTCGTGAGAGGAACTTTCAGAGCAGCGGTGCTCCTGCATGCGCACCCTGCTGACAAGGACCGTAATACTTCTGAGAGAGGCGAGGCGAGGGAAACAACAGAGAATTCGGGGGAATATGTGAATGGAGAGCAGAGAAATTGGGCAAAACCGCCACCACATACAGTCATGCCAGCGGCGCAGTACACAGTAAGAAAAATACAGTGCGTTTCAGTACGGTACTGACCATGCTGAGTAAAGAAAGGACTGTCTATATTCGATGCAGCATACAGCGCTGCACCAGAGAACCTGGGGTCGTTCGATTTGATTGGACCTACAATCGCCCTCCCTCAATGTACAGAACTGTACAGACAGAACACCACGACGACGATTCAACAGCACCACTGACTGCAGTCCTGTACAGAGCCTGCAGGGGCTTGGTTTGAGTCTTGATGATGACGGGCTCATGTCACGCACGACAAGAGCCTGCATTTCCTTCCCCAAAACTCCCCCACCCACCCCACCAAACCCCCGACGGCACAAGGACAGGCTTCCTTCCTCCCCTCTCCTCTCCCCTCCTCCTCTCCTCTCCTAACCTCTCCTCAGGACGAGTCACGCCACGCGACGTGACTGGCTGCCCCCTGCGATGTGACACCCCACCACCCCACCCCACCCCACTCCACCCAACTTCCCGTTTTTTCGGCTTCATTCACCATTCAACTCACCTTTAGCGAACCTCGTTCCGCGGCACGGCGCCTCAAAGACACAGTGGTACATGGCGGCGTGGCGAGGCGAAGCGAGCGAGCCATGAATGGAAGCTGTTTGGTGTGTACAGTAATTAATTCCGCGTCCTTCCCAGAGCCGAGTCAGCTCTGCCGCATCTGGTCTGGTCTAGGGTTGTCCTTGTGAAATCAAATCGGCCGACGACGAAGAGTGCACACATTGCATACAGTACAGCTAAATCAAACCCTGCCAAGTTCACCTGAACGCCATCTAATCTAGCCCAGGGTTACTTCTACTGTACATAGCAGCCTGCGCTGCGACGCTGGTGAACATTCACTCGTTTCATTCTCACATTCTCAGAGTGACGCCGCGCGGAAGCCATATTAGTCAATAGGTTGCGATTGCGAGCGTCAGACAGAGCACCATGAATTCTCTACCACCCACCATCATTTCCTCTATTTGAAGCTATCCCCCCGGTTCCTCCATTTCTATCTCTTAGTAAGCCCCGTTGAACGAATTCTGCTCGAGCCGCACATTGCTGTCATCATCCTACACGTCTCACGCCGGGATACATCAGAGGCGAGCGTCCCACCATGGCCGCATTTCATGGATCCCCTCCGGGTAGTGCTCCCCGAGACGTGGAGGGACCGGCGGAACGACCCGCCGCAACTCTCGGCGCGCGTCATTATCAGCAAGTCTTCCGCGCGAAAGGCGGCGGCCACCGGAGGGAGAACAATTTTCCGCCAGCAGTGCTGCAGCGCCGGAATGCCGCCGCCGATGACGGCGGGTCAACTGCCGGCGCGGCCTCGCCGCGCGTTAGTAGTAACTCGGAGTCGGAAACCGATGTCAGCCGCTCAGCCGCAAACGCCGTCGCAAACTCCGCTGGCTCCGTCGCCGCCGCGTCGGGCTTGTTAATGCAGCCGCGCCGCCATTCTCTCGAGGCGTGCTTTCGCACCGTGAAGTTCGAGCCGCGGATGTCGCTGCTCTCCGCGACTCCCGCCGCGACTTCCGCTGCCGACGGCGCCGCCGTTGCCGCTGCAGACGAAGACAGACGTGAGAACGCGGAACGGGCATGCAGCAGCGGCAGCGCCAGCAGCAGCGGCAGCAGCAGCAGTACCCCTACTGATGTCATTAATGTTACAAGTACTGCGAGTGCTTCTTGCAGTGAGTTACCCTCTACGACTCCGACTCGAGGGAGCCATAACAGCTTGCTCGACGCGTTACCCGACGACGTTCTCATCGATATCCTCGCCGCGCTCGGCTCCGCGCGACACGTGGCAGCGACCGGCGCAGTCTGCCGTCGATGGTACCGCCTCGTGCCGTCGGTTCCCTCCCTCGCCTTCGCCCGCATCGCGCTACCCCCGGCTAAAATCGAAGAGATTGTATCGCGCATGGTGCTGCGTTCGCAGGGACTCTCAGCTCTCCACGTGGAGACCGTGAGTTGCGGCGGGATTCCCGGCGGCAGCGGCGGTAGCGGCGGCACCAGCAACACACATCCACGCGAGTTCATAGTTGAAGCGTGGGCGCGCCACGCTGGCACCTCCCTCCGCCACGTCACATTCACGCAGCTGAAGACCGTCAATGCCGCCGGCTCCTCCGCCGCATCATCCGCCGGGAACTCCGGCGGTTCGAGCTGCACGGTTTACGCGGGCGGTCCGGACCTCACCTGTCATCTGCAGCACCTCGCGTTGCACTGCCCCAATCTCGACTCAATGCGCCTCGGCTCTTTCACACTCGCGCCACATTCCCTCCGCGGACTTTCCGCCTTCCCCCACCTTCGCGGAAACTCCGCGTTTCCGCATCTGCGCGCGCTCTCCCTCGAATGGACCAACCTGCCGGCTTCCGCGCTCCAATCGCTGCTCGACGCGTGTCCCAACCTCCGTCACCTCTCCATCTTCATGGCGGCAGGGCTCACCGCGCAAACCGCCGCGTATCCCGCCGGCTTTTACGCCGCGCGCCGAGCCGCGGGGGGCGCGGGAGCCGCAGCGGCGGCGGCGGCGGGGGGAGTCCCCGCGGGGCTGTGCTTCCGCCTGCCCGCGCAGTTGGAGTCTGTCGAGCTCGCGTATCTGCGCGTATCCGCCCTCACCCTTATCTGCAACGAGGCTGTCTGTACTGAGGACAATAATATAGGCCGCAGCGGCGGCGCTCGCGGCGGCCGCAGTGGCGGCGGCGGTGGGGGCCTGCGCGAGGTGTCCATCCGGGATATGTTTCTCTCCGCGCTCTCCCTCCCCAACGCCCGCGCGCTCGCGTCGCTCTCCGTCGCCACTGCGTCCACGCTCCGCCTCTCCGCGCCCGCTTCCGCCGCGCTTGCGGCGCTCGAGGTGCGCGCGGGTGCCGTCCACTGGCCATCACTCGAGGCGGTCGTCGCGGGCGCCGGAGCGGCGCTCAAGCACCTCGCGCTGGATCTCTTCACTGTCGGATGTGGCGGCGCTCCGCGCGGCGACGCGACTGGCGGAAGCGCCTTCGGGTTTCCGCCGCGGGGAAACTCTGCGGGAGGAGGGGCGACGGACGTGGGGGCAGGAGCAGGAGCATGGACAGGGGCAGGGGCGGGAGGATTTTCCGCACCAGCTGCTGTGGCTACGGGCAGCAGGGGGGGTCTAGATTTGCTAAATCTCAATTGGCTCGTGGGCCATTGCCCTAATCTCGCCTCCCTCTCCTTCGGCCCTCTCCCTTGGGAATGTCTGATTCGCGGAGGCCGTTTTGCCGCTTCTGGTTGGGCTCCTGGCTCGGAATCAGGCTCGGCTGGTGGTAATTGGGAAGGAGGTTCGGGTGTGGGAGGCTCGGCTGAGGGTCAGGTGACGCTGAGTCGCGTGATGAACCCTGCTGATGTAGGCGTTTGGCCGAGCCAGCTGGAGAATCTTTCGGTGAAGCTTCGGGGGAGGAGTGGAGCTACACTGCTTTGGATTGGTGCATTCATGCAGCAGTGCGAGGGGAGTCTGAGGAGTGTGAAAGTGGTGTGTATGGAGGATAGTGATAATGAGGAGGAGGATGATGAGGACTGGAGTGGAAGTGAGAGTGAGGAGGAGGAAGAGCACGAGGAAATGGAGTGTGGGGATGAAGGAATTGGGGAGGAATGGGATGAGGAGGAAAGTGACGGTGAGGAGGAGGAGGAGGAGGAGGAGGAGGAGGAGGAGGAGGAGGAGGAGGAGGAGGAGGAGGAGGAGGAGGAGGAGGAGGAGGAGGAGGAGGAGGAGGAAGAGGAAGAAGACAGAGAGTGTGGTCAAGAGTGCTACACGTGCAGGCGGAATCACGAGGAGCAGGAGCAGGAGGACGAAGAATGGGACTCGGAAGATGAGGAAGAAGAGTACGGAGCCGAGGCAGGTGCTGCTGTGATGTCTCATACCGGAAGACACACTCCTTCCCGAAATTCTTTCAGGCGGCACCTTGGCAGCCACAGCAACAACCAGCTGCTGTGCTGCCAGAGGGGCCAGCAGGGCCGGCAGCGATGCAGCCAGCTGCCTGTGATGCGAAGAGCGCTGAGCAGCATGCGTGGCAGCAACAGCAGCGCCAGGAGCGGCAGCGGTGGCAGCAGTGGCAGCAATGCTAACAGCGCCGCTGCTGGTACTTCAGGTTACTCTCCCATGAGAGAGCAGACTGCGAGCAGTGCCAAGCAGAGGCTGATTGCAGCGCGAGTTTTCTTCAGCTCTGCTCTGGATGCCCTTCAAAGAACGTTCCCACGTGTAGATGTACTTGCTCCATGCTCATGAGCATAACAAGCTTGTTTGATTATTCTCTATCTGCTATTAGTGTACGTCATTCTTTCAATCCTGTACAATGTATTACTATTCTGTCATCTATCTAACCATCCAAACCACATGTACTAAGGGCGGATTCCTACAAAGTTGCATCAGAATCAGAAACGCATGTAACCAAAATGAACCGCATTGCAATGCGATTAAAACACTCGCACCGCATAGTACCGCATGATTCTGATCCAGGTTGATTCTGATCTGATCCTGGTTTGTAGGAATTCGCCCTATGCATGAGTTCACATACAAACATCAACATGATGCAGCCTCTATTATTACCACCCAATTTTATTACTGTACATGTACAAGCGCACATCTACACATATAGGTACCGCATACATTTGTATATCAGCAGCACCGGACTTCGACGTTCCTCAGTTACTTGCACGGTACCTTCTACCTACCTCGAGGTATGCAGTAAATGTACAGTGCACCTCAAAACATCCTGCTGATGCAAAGGAAAAGGATGGCGAGTCGCAACCACCAAGCAAGGCCATACAAACCCTCCTATCCGGGGTGCACTGCACAGGTGCCGCTTCGAATGCAGTGAGAGGCAGGAGGAGAAGAGAGGTCTATCTCATCAGTTTCCATCCTCTTTCCTCTCTCCCTCTCCAGGTGTGTGCGCATCAGCAACGCACACTTGTTGGTCCTGACTCCACCCGGCCTCTGCAGCAGCAGCAGCAGCAGCAGCAGCAGCAGCAGCAGCAGCAGCAGCGGCAACGGCAGCGAAGCAGCGGGGTGGCGGCAAAATCATCATCATCAGCAGCAGCAGCAGCACAGGCAGCGCAGAGTGCAAAGCCAGTGTCTGTTCCTAGGTACACGCGCCGTATAATGCAGAGAAGAAGCCTGGTCCGAAGGCCCAGCAGCAACAGCAACAGCAACAGAGGAGCAAACTCCGCCGGCGCGGAAGGTTCGTGCTCCCAATTATTACACAGAAGAGAGACCCAGGGCCCAGGGCCCAAGAGGTTCACCGTTCGCCAGGCGCAGCAGGTTCAGGATGGAATGGAGGAGGAAGGGGAGTTTAACCTTGAGGTCCCGTGCTTGTGGTCCCTAATACAAGGCAGGTTTGCACCGAGTGCTTGCAGGAATGATCGGGCGGAGAGGAGTGGATTCGTGAGGAGAGGAAGGATGCTCCTTGCGAAGCAGCAAACACGATGCAGCAGCAGCACCAGCAGCTACAGCAGCAGCATTTATTCAACATTCTCAGGGGCAGCTGTGAAGTGTAGTGGAGCTGCACTGCAGGAATGGCCATTCTTGCACCGCAGTAAATAGTGAAGCAGAGAGGAGAGCTGCACAGCGGGGTGTGGTGTTGGGACGTTGGGATGGCGTTGGGACGGCACCATTCCAAAAGCGCTGGGATGTGTGGGCAACGGTATGTACGTCGGGATACCGTGTTGGGACGTGTTGCGACACTGGGTAGTTGGAACCACATCGGAATGGCGGGATAGGGCATCAGACAAACCCCAGAAGCCAGCTGCTGCCCGGCTCACACCGCAACACAGACAGTAGCGGAGAGGAGAGGAGCAGAACGAGAAGGAAAGCTCCAGGTAGCTTCTCTCGGCAGCTGAAGCCAACGATGACAGGGGATTGTGATGCCAGCAGCAGCAGCAGGAGCAGCAGAGGCAGCAGCAGGAGCAGCAGAAGCAGCAGCAGGAGCAGCAGAAGCAGCAGCAGGAGCAGCAGCAGGAGCAGCAGAAGCAGCCGCAGGAGCAGCAGAAGCAGCAGCAGGAGCAGCAGCAAGAGTAGCAGAAGCAGCAGCAGGAGCAGCAGGAGCAGCAGCAGGAGCAGCAGGAGCAGCAGGAGCAGCAGAAGCAGCAGCAGGAGGAGGAGAATCAGCGGGAGCAGCAGAAGCAGCCGAGAATAAGGCCCGAACGAGAAGGAAGTTAGGTGCTGCTTTTGTAGGATTACAGCGAGAGTAGAGTGTGCCGCAGAATGTCGGCGGCAGTGAGGATTCCCACCACTGTGGTGCCGGGCTTGCCACCTTCCCTGGGAGCCACCACAGGCAGACGAGCCACCTGCAGAAAGAGAGGAAGAGAGCAGAGAGCAGAGAGGAGAGAGGAGAGAGGTGAGAGGTGAGAGGTGAGTGAGAGTGAGAGGGAAGAAAGAAGGGACGGGGAACGCGGAAGACAGCAGAAGGCTTGAGAGTGGGAGCGAGAGAAGAAGAAGCAAAGAGAGACAGAGAAAAGCTACACAGAGTGCGAGCAAGAGGCCAGGTCAGACACCAGCGCATCTTGCTCCACATACAGCGGAGCACGCACTTCACTAAGCACCCAGCACCCAACACCCAACACTCAACACCCAACACCCGGCCCCAACCCCAGCCCCAACCCCAACACCAGTGCATACATGGCGGTTAATCATGATGGTTGCGGCGTCAGACACCAGCGCGTCCTCCTCCACATACAGCGGAGCTGCCGTCATGGCATGCGCCACGGTGCGGCTGCGGATCTTCCCCAGCTGCGCCTTGAGAGACGGGCTCATGGGGCCCTCATAGGGGTCTCCCATCAGGTCGTCCTCCTGAGCAAGTGGCGGGGGAAGAGGAGGTAGGGGAAGGAGGGGGGGGGGGGGGGGGGTAGAGGGAGCAGAAGGGAGGTGAGTGGATTAGAATTTTATAGCGCCTCAAAACTCAGAGGGGTCTCCCATCAGGTCGTCCTACTGTGCGAGGGGCGGGGGAAGAGGTGAGGGGGAGGGGGGGGTAGGAGGGGGGAGGAGAGGGGAGGAGGGGGGAGGAGGGATAGAGGGAACAGGGGGAGTTGAGTGGGCGTGAGGGAAGGGAATGGAGTCACGGCACGCGACAGGTTGCGCCCTCCGCAGGAAGTACCTCCCTCTGCGACAGCACACCCAGGAAGCGGCCAGTGCCACAGAAAGAGGAAAGAAGGGCCATAAAACGAAGGAAAACAGCGCCCGGGAAACAAGCAGAAGCCAGCAGGAGCCAGCAGAAGCAAGCAGAAGCAAGCAGGAGCAAGCCGGAGCAAGCAGAAGCAAGCCGGAGCAAGCAGAAGCAAGCAGGAGCAGGCAGAAGCAAGCCGGATCAAGCAGAAGCAAGCAGAAGCGAGCCGGAGCAAGCAGGAGCAAGCAGAAGCATGCCGGAGCGTACCCCGGGGTAAGGCACCGTCTCTTTCCACAGCACGTCGCGCTGCGACAGCACGCCCACGAGCCGCCCCGCGCCGACCGCGTCGCCCTCGTACGGCTCCACCACGGGCACGCCGCTCACCGCGCACGCCGCCAGCAGCCGCGCCGCCGACTTGAGCGACGCGCGCGGGTGCACGCACACGGGGCGGCGCGTCATGTAGTCGCCGACCGTTGGCGCCGCGGCGGCTGTCGTTGATTCGTCTCCGGTGAATCTGCGGGAAGGGCGAGCGACACGGCGGCGGGGAGACGAAGAGGGCGAAATTTAGCGCCGGGTGCGACGGCTCGCGAGTGCATCGCAGCGTGTGCGACGTGACAAGCCAAGACGCGCAGAAAAAGAACGGAAGGAACGGACCGCGAGAGAGAGGAAACACGAAAAGGCGCGCAGCGTCGGCGCGAAGCAACGGCGCGAAGCAAAGGCGCGAAGCCGAGGGGAGTTAAGTACCCGTCCGTCAAATCGAGCTCGGGAAGGCCGCTCTGCCACATGGCAGTATCCGCGAGAAACACGCTCGCGCTGCTCGTCCCCACGCCCTGCCACGCGTGCTCCTCCTCCTCCACCGCAACTCCCGCCTCCCGCTGCGTCTTCGGCGGTTCGCGGACCAGCGTTGCTTTCGCAGCGGCAGTGACTTTCGCAGCGGCGGCAGCGGCGGCGGCGACTTTGGCGGAGGAGACGGCGGCGGAGGTTATCTGGCGGTCGGAAGCCGCGCGGACGGCGGGCAGGCGGAAGGGAGGCGATTTCCGCGCGCTGGGGCCTGCGGAAGCGCCGCCACGCTGCGCCTGCCAGCGGAGTTGCGGCGGCGGAGCATTAATACGGATCGTTGTCGTACTTGTATTACCGCAAAGAACAGCCATTGGACCAGAGAAAAAGAAGGCGACGTCTCGTCAAGAAGAACGTCCGTCTCGTCCGATGGAGGTCCCGAGGAGTGGTGGTCCGTTAGAACCCGGAGTTCTTGCAAGCGCCGGTTATCGCGGTGGTAGTGGTGGCGGATTTGGCGGATATGGCGGTCGCTTCTCTGCTGCTGTGCGGATGGTGTTGGAGGATATGACGAAGCCAGTGCTGCTGCTAACGAGTAGCGAGTAGCCAATAACGAGGCCGCGGGTATTACTAGCGAAAGGCAGACGACGCGTTAGACGCCGGTTGATGCTGGCTGATGCGGCGCGTACCACTGCGCCGGAATTTGCGAGTTCGGATCGAAGACTGCTGCGGCGCGGACTCCTCCAGGAGCTATTAACTCAGGCAGCCGACTCGGAACGAGTCGTTAGTTGATATGACGGATTCTGAGGCGCCTCGAAAGACAGCGCACGACGGCATAAATTGTCCTCTAACGAGCCTCGGATTCCTGAGGAACAAAGGCGGTGCCGTTTGCTCTTGCACGGGAAGTTTAGGGCTTGGCCTTGCAGACTGTCCTGTCGAAACCACAGGCAGAAAGTGCTGAACTGGAGTTGGGACGCGGGCTGATGTACTAGCCTAGGTGCTTGGCAGGAGGATCCCTAGACTGGGAGGGAAGGAAAGGGAAGGAAAGGGAAGGGTAGTCTTGCTGGTGGTGGTGTGCGTCTCGTGAATCCTCCAGTGGCGCAAAATAGGGGCAGTGTGTGTGAGTTGTGAATTTTGTGATTGAGATTTTGTGAACTTTGGTGTTGTTTGTGCTGCTTGTGTGTTTCTGTGTTGTCACGGTGCCCTCGAATCCCTCCATGTTTTCGTGGGTGCTTTTGTTTTTGCGCTGCTGCTACTGTAGCTAGCCCTGCATGACACGCGCGAGCCAGGCCAGCTGCGAGCAGTCCAGCTCACAAGTTGCGCATGTGCCCCGCCCTTGCCCACTGCCAGTTGCCCATTGTCCAGCTGCCCGTCAAATCACCGACGCAAGACTGCTCACCTGGTCAGCCTCCCTCTGGGGTTTCCTTTTCCCTCCGCGCCGAGCCGATGTCGGCCAGTTCTAGCTCCTGCCGTGCTTCATTGCTGCTGTCGCACGCACGCTTCCCTGGACGCTCTGGGCTGATAGCTCCTCGGCTCTGCTCTGCCCTGCTTTTCTGTCGCACACACATTTCTCTGCTCGCCGTCATGTCGCATCGCATTGCTGCCCTAGTGCCCACTTTCCCCGTCTCCGATTGTTGTCGGTTTCCTCGTCTTGCACTGCCCGTGCCCCTCCCTCCTCCTTTCCCTCCACCCAATCCTCGTCGGCGTTTTTTCTGTTTCAGCCCGAAAGGGGCTGGTTTGGCTGGCTGGCTGGGCTGATGCTTGCGTGCGACTCGCCCGCTCACCTAGCGACAAGCTGGGCGACGACATACCATTGGGTCTTGTGTTTCTGCTGTTCCCTACCACTTGCTGAGCTGGAATCGCACACCGCGGGAATTCCTCGCCCCTCGTCAACACATCATTAGTCATGACATGCAAAGCGAATCTCCAGCTTTTTAAAGTTTGATTTACCCATTGAGGGTAAACTTCCTCCGCTGGAGATCGCAAAGAAGGTATGAAATTGATCGGGGAATGAATCAGACTTGAGTACACGTCATTCAATATTGTGTTTTACGGTATTTGCACGCGACTTAAATCTGTAATAAGGAAAAGTTTTAAAACCAGGCACGCGGAACATTTGAAGGGGAAATCCAACAGTGAGACTGTCACTTGGTTACAAATTATCGCTCATGCACTAGATGATTTACCTGCGCGACGTCCCAGCTAGGATTCTCGCAATTGTCCACATAAGACTTGACTGTTCACTATCGAAAGGACTGCCGCCTATCAGGTTCAGTGTCAACGCGAGTCATGCTGAGAAACTGGTAGGTGCCAGTAAACATTGAAATAATACAGGTGACACAATAAACCGATAAAAGTGTACTTTACGTTTCGGTTTGCAGAGCAGACCAACGGTCTTACCTTAAGAATATTCAGCGTGCTATGCGACACAATAGACATGCCATGCGAACAAAAACTGCGAAAGTTTCACATGTGCTCATTGGTGTGCCTTGAGTTTTTGTTCAGTGCGACTGGCGCTGACAACGAGCAATCACGTGATTCCTTGCTCCGCCAGAGTGACGTCGTGTCCCGATTGGGTAATGACTCAGATGCTGAACAGTTCACGTGTCCACACCGACAAAACTACGTAGGCAGGCAGAGTGTGACCAGCAGCAGGCAGGCCTGCCCCAGCCTCATCGCAGGCTCAACCCAGCGCCGAATCAGAATCGCTTCCCAAACCCTCCGATATACGGGAAATGGGAGATCTGGTTGAATCACCCTGCGACGTGTCATGATTGAGTTTACGACCAGCATAAAGCATGGGACACGTCATTGCCGGCCTGGTTTCGTCGTCACGGAACTGTGCACCGCAGTCGCCTGATGGCCTCACAAAAGTCGCACGCTGGCAACAAACATCGCCACCCAAGCCCCCTCCATACAAATACCTTCTCTTTTCGCCGGGTGCACGTGCGAAAGCCTCATTTGCCCGTGGCGAGGGAACACGAAAGACTTGTGTGATTGAATCTCTGGCACCCTCAAATCTAGTGCGACTCTGACGAACTTCGTTTGTATGTATCCACCTGTCCTTTGGGAAATCGACGAGACATCTAAACAAGGCTCTTCACGACTGTTTTAAAAAACTGACACAAATCGAAGTGAACGGCGGGTTACTAAATTTCAGAGATAGATTCCAAAGCCGATTTGCCGTGCTCGCCTTGAATATCCTTCTACAACACGAATCTTGACATGCGCCCAGTTTGCGGTTTAGATAACAGGACTTTTTGGGAAAGCTGTTGTCCGTCCGCACTAAGGGAGACGGTACACTATGCAGCTTCGACAAAAACACGCAAGATCGAATTTTACCATCAACAACTAGGATTCAAAAAAATTATGATATACGTTGTTATGAATTAACCAGAATAAAACCATGTAGTGTAATAAAGGAGTCGTGATTCGAGAGTGTCGATCAAAATGAGGGCCTAGGAATTTATAGGCACGAACAGAGCTAGCCGAGAACCACGCGGACAGGCTGGGGCGGTCTGGTTGGCGAAAGCCACGGAAGCGCCGCGCATCTAGGTTTGGGTCTCAAAGTTAGAATAATTGACTAGAATGGGAGCATACAGGGGTATATAGCTAATGAGGTATGCAGGGGTATATGGCATGACCATTTGTAGTCTACTAAACATATACAAATATATTTGATACACCCTCTAGACTAGATAGGGGAAGTGCCTGGTGTGGGACACGCAGCTCAGGGCGGCACTACTAGTCCAACCTCTGAGGCAGGGGTCTAAAGACCAATAAGCAAGAGTACAAACAAGGGAAGATCAAGACCAGGGTGGCACTACTAGTCCAACCTCTGAGGCAGGGGTCTAAAGACCAATAAGCAAGAGTACAAACAAGGCAAGATCAAGACCAGGGCGGCACTACTAGTCCAGCCACTAGGAGAAAGCCACAGGCACGAGACCGAAATGTACGCAGTGCAGCTGATGATTTTTAGGCGCAAGCGCCTTCGTAAAGATATCAGCAGTGTTGGCATCTGAGGCCAAGTGTACTACACGGGCCTGGCGACACTGCTGTAGCTCGCAAAAGAGGAAGTAACGCAGCTGGATGTGCTTCGCTCTGCCCTCGTGTCTGGGCTCCTGACACAGGAGGATCATGGACCTGTTGTCAGCGTATAGAATCGGGGCAGAGCTAGGCCGCTCATCTAAGTCTGTGAGCAAGAAAGTCAGCCAGCGAAGCTCCTGTGCCGCCATGGCACCGGCGTAGATCTCAGCCTCACAGCTAGACTGGGCAACAAACGACGACCGGGTGGACCTCCACGAGACAGCATCTGCACCAAGGCTAAAGCAGTAGCCCCGGGAGGACCTGGGAGTCTTGGCGTCGTCTGCCCAATAAGCGTCTATGTATCCGGTAAGGACCACTAGCCAGTGTCCTCCTAGCACAAGCCCCATGCCCGACGTACTTGCTAGATAATATAGAACCCTCTTAGCTGCAGACCAGTGCTGTAGTCGGTGTCTGCCTGAGGCCACAAAGTGGGCCAGGATGCTGAGAGGGTATGCAAGATCTGGACGAAGGCAAGTTATCTTGTACATGAGGTAACCCACCAGCTTTGCGTAAGGACCACTAGGCTCTACAGCCTCCTCCGGGACTAGAGCAGAGAGTATATGGTCTACTGGCAGGGGGATGGGCTATGTGGAAGAGAACTAAAGGCCGAACCTCTGAAGGACCTGGCGTACCAAGTGTGACCGTGTGAGAGTGATGGTGCGTGCGGCTCTGTCCCTGGAGATCTGCAAGCCAAGGTAGCGGCGCAGCTCTCCTAGGTTAGTGAAGGTGTGTCTCCTTAGCAGCTCGACCTTCACGAAGGCCAGCACATCTACGTAAACAGTAGCAAAGACCAGATCGTCTACGTAAACAAGGATGTAGAACGGAGTCTGGCCGGAACGGACAAAGAGCAAGGGGTCTGCAGATGACGGGAAGAACTGCAGGTCAGCAAGTGTAGCACGCAACATATCGTGCCACTTACGAAGCGCCTGTCGCAGGCCGTAGACAGGGCGCCGAAGAAGCTACTCGGTACTAGGAGGAAAGGTACTGGAGAAGCCCTGGGGGCGGCGCAGGTAGACCTGCTCGTGTAGACTGCCCTGGAGGAAAGCTGTGGAGAAGTCGAGGGAGTGGAGCCCGTAGTCACACTGTGCTGCTACATGTAGTATTGACCGAAGAGTAGTCATCTTCGGGGTCAGGGCAAAGGTCTGAAAGAAGTCAACACCCTCACGCTGGCTGAAACCACGAGCAATGTAGCGTGCCTTGAAGACAGGCGGCTCTCCAGGAGGGCGCTTCATCTTGAAGAGCCAGCGGCTATTGACTACGTTCACCCCTGGTGGGGGAACTGCGTCGACGAAGGTACCGGTGGATCTCCAAGATGCCATCTCTTGTTCCATGGTAGCTATCTATTGAGAGGCTCAGGGTCACGAGGTCGTCTCAGCATAGGTGCGAGGGGTCAGGATGTCAAGGGCGTCTGGGTCACCCTCAGGGACTAGCAGCATGGAACAGAGATGGAAAGCAGCCTCTGAGAGGAAAGCAAGCTCGTACTGTCTGTCCTCTAGGACGTCACTACCAAGGGCAGCCACACCCCCGACGGACAGAGGGCAGGCAGGGTCAGAGACTAGAGCAATGGCGTAGTTAAGGCGGCGCGTAGCGGCAAAGTCAGTGACAGCCGCAACAAGAGCCGACAGACTTGAGACAGGAACGGATGGGTCGGTAACAAGAGAGGCAAGGACACGAGGAACAAGGGGATGCACGGCACGGAGGAAGTCAGAGAACGGAGGCAGGGCCACAGCGAGCGACAACGAAGGAGGAGACGGGAGGTGCGGAGGAGCAAGAGACGCGTGGGAGCAAAGCAACATAGGGTGAGAACACGGAATAGGGGAGGTAGGACGAGCACGAGACGGACGACGAGCCAAGATGTGAGACGGAGAAGTCGGGTCAGGAGAGAGGGGAGGAGACACAGGAGGAGAATGAGGAGGGAAATGAGACGGAGAAGAGTCCACGGGAGGAAACACAGGGCCGTAGACCGGCAGAGGAGGAGGCGGTGGCGATGGAGGAGGCACCGGAGGGCGGTCAGGG